CTGCACTCCCAGGCCTGTGCCACTTAGGCTCTGCTGCTGCAGCATTAGGCCTGCAAAGCCTATTTGAATGTGTTTGCACCATTTCCCAGCACTTCCTTTTGTATCCAAGTTATCTGGGTTTTTCTGTGGTGTAAGCTATCTATTACCTTTGAAGATCCTGTTTACTGTCACTGTGTCTTTGTTGGGGGGGTTGTGTTTTTTTTTAAAGTCAATTTTGAATATGTAGTCAAATGTAGCATTTTCAGAAATAGTGCTTTCACTTGTCTTGTGAAATGCTTCTCCTCTTTTGGTTTTTGTGCCTCTAGATACAAGGCTGTGAGCTCCATGTGAGCTTGGGGTTGTGAGATGCAGCCCCTTTGTGTCTGTGTGTCTTGCAGTCGCCGTTTCCTCTATATTGTCAACCTGGATGCGCCAAATGAGGGTCACCGTAAGATCTCCCGGCAGAGCAAGTGGGACATTGGGGCAGTGCAGTGGAACCCCCACGACAGCTACGCCTACTACTTTGCAGCTTCGGTAAGTTTACTCACTTAAAAGCTGTAACTCATCGACTTCTCTGGTATTTCTTTCATGGGTGAGCCTCTGCAGAGCTGGAAGGCTGTGTGGAGCTGGCACAGACATGATTCTGCAAGTCACATTGCAAGATCAAGGCCTAACTCTGATTTACTGCCAGCGAGTTGTTCAGCTTGATGGCTTTCAGTTATTGGGCAGTCAGGGTTGAATCTAGTTTTGCTTTCTTGTCATTTACAAAACACTTTGCCAAATAAATCAAGCATCCAAATGGTCCTTTCCTGGAGTAAAGTGCTCTCTTTCTGATTTCCAGTCTGAGATTTGTGCACTTCTTGAATTTTTTTGCTCTGTGCTGTTTTGTTTTCACCTCCCTGTCTTGCTGCTCGGCTGTGGTGCACCAGGCAGTCTGTAAATCACACGTGTCAATACTGGCTTGCAGCCTGGGGTTTGCAGCTGGGCATGGACTGGATCGGTGAGGAGTTGCATGGGGCAGTGGGCTGGGCTGAAGAAGCAGTAATGGCTGTGTGAGACCAACTTCAGTTTTTGGCTCTGCTCCATACTTGGTTGTCATGCTCTGCAGTTTGTTCACCCAGAGCCCTGAGCTCTGCTGGTGGAAATCTCAGCCATCACCCACAGCACTGTGGCAATTGGCATCAGCCAGGTGCAGACTGTTCCCAGGGTGCCTTTTCTGATGTGTTGTATCTGCTTTTGTAGCCTGAGAGTCCTGGACTAACTAGGGATGGAGAAATCTCTCCATCTATTCTTTTGAGAAAACACCTTAAGGTGATTTCTTAGGATTTTTGTTCCTCTTGCTTCCTGGGTTTGCTGTGTTTTTAATTAAAGGCAGTTTTAAAAGTGGACTGGTGCTGTCAGCTGGGATCCTCTGCCTGTTTGCTCTCTGGAATTCCCCAGCCTGTGTCTTCCCAGCTCTGGCACATGACTGATGTCTTAAAGGTGCCTTCAGCAGTAGTCTGCTTCTGAGCAGAGAGTTAGTAAAACTGGCAAAAAGGTGTCCTTCAATGCCACTTCTGGATACAGTCTGTGGAAACCAAAACCAGGTAAGGAAGTGCACTGGGCAGGCCACAAGTGGAGCAGGAAAGCTTCTTTTCAAACACACTCTGGAGACAATATCCAGTGATGAGTTCTTGCTGATCTGAACAAGACACTGCTGCAAAGTGTGCCCATCTTGGCCATCTGAGCACGCCTACTTCTTGCTGCTCTGAGTGGATACAGGAACCCATCTTGTTCGAGACTGAAACCAGGTACTGCTGGCATCAAACCTTGCTGCTTCTATTTGTAAACAAAGATGCTCTGGGGATTTGAACATAGTTGCTGACACACACTGGTTGAGGAATCCCCAAGATGAGATCAGGTAGCTTTTTCAATTTGGGTCAAAAATACCACCTTTAAAGCCATTTCACTGTGTTGAAGACAGACCAAGGATCTTATCCCTCTGCATCCCTGTGGATGGAAAGGGATGTAAAATACTTCCATCCTGTTTGCCAGCAGCCTCATCTGGTTTGCAGTCCTGTTAATTTGAAGTGGTACAGGCAGAGGGGAATCTGTCCTTGTGTTTAGCTTCTTTCCAGAAGAGCTAGAGCAAGTCCTTTTGCCGAGCTTATCTGTGTCTGCCCTTTGGCTCAAGCATCTTTCTGGGGACTCCTAAGCTGTTGTTT